CCTTCAGACCTTCTGTACCAGCCAGGCCGTCTGGCTGGCACTAGCTGGTTTGCTACACTGACACTCAACCTCCTTTCGTGGGCAGGGACTATCTTTTATTTCTACGATAAACTTCTAAAATGTCTAACAGGCTGTGCAGAAAGTGGCGAGCTCAGCACAGGTCCACCTTTCATGACCTCTCACAGCTCGGCACACCCTGATGGCTGTGTTTCCGCTGCTCTCAGGTCAGTGACGGCTAGTTTTGATTCCCTGTAGACTGCGGTGGGAGCAGGCCTTATGTGCTTTCCCATTTCCTCTGATACCTAATGTAGAACTAGACAGGATTTCTTTCAAAGCAACGTTTCTCAAAGTCTGATCCTAGAGCCCTGTATCAAACATGGGCTGCCCAGCAGAATCATCTGGGTAGCTTCAAAAGCCATGAATGCCAGGCTTCCACCTCAAAAGGTACTGATTTGATTGTCTTAGGATGGGTCCCCGGCATCAGTGATTTAAAATTTTTTCCTGGTGATTTAAAAATGCCGCTGAAGCTAAGACTACAGCACTAAAGTTTAAGAACCTTTACACTTTCAGATTGATTGATTTCATCAGCCATTTGTTCTGGCCCCTTCAGAGATGAAGAACAGCTGGTTCCTACTGACAAACTACTCACGTACTTAAAGAAGCTTAAGTGGCTTCTGAGCCTAATATTTTAACTAAATAATCTCAAGTGTATAATGCATTTCTTATATATGGTTTAAGGATAAGGCAAGGAGCTAGATTTAATTATTCAATAAACATCAGAGCCTTTTTACATGTAAGACCCAATGTCATACACTGGGGGGACACAAAGCCAAATATGACCCAGGCCCTGGTCTCCTAAAGTGAACAGTCTGTTAGGGAGATGAACACACAGACACCAGGGCAAATGTACATTTTGGAACTGCCAGGTGTGAGGCAACAATAAGAACAACACCCTCTGACACAGCAGCCTATAAAAAGCTTTCACATGTCTGATATTACCTTCACAATAACTACAGGGTATAGGCAGGAAGGGTGTTACCACCCATTTCACAGGCAACCTGAGAGATTTATGGTCAAGACACTTGTAGCTGGTAAGTAGTTGACTAGGTATTTTATTGAAAGTCTTTAGAGGTGACAAACTTTCATCTTGTGAAGATGTATTTAACTTTAGGAATAAAATCAAAAGTTAATTCAGTGTTAAGTCTAGTGAGTAAGTTTAAAAAGTCAGATTGGGTAGTGCTTATTTTGGAATAGAACATTTTGAAAATGCAACTATAAAGAGATGAGAATAATGATTTTTTTTTTTTTGTGGCTCCAAGACTAGCCTTTAAAGCAGTTACAAAAGAGAAGAACCAAAAATGTCTTGAGGCATGTGGGAGGCTCTTTGGGAAAAGGCACCTCTCCATTAGGTGAACACTTGCTTAAAAAAAAGGCAATTAATTTTCAATGTAAATTTCTATCCCTTTATTGCCTTTAATCATTGCTCTCTGGAATTAGTCCCAGTTTCTCACTAGATTTCCTAAAATGGGAACATTAGGTAGGGTCACCCCATTCAGTTGGAAGTCCAAGAAGGGCAGAGCCAAGGGCCCACAGCCTGACCCCATAAGGGTGGATGTCTGGCAGTCTCTTCGCAGGCACCACGTTACTAAGGGTGTGCCTTGTGATTGATGATACTCAGGTCTTTTCTGTTACAGTTTTCAAAAATGCATATTTAGCCATGAATTGAATCCTTTAGTGGTTCCCCGCTGTCTAAAAAATGAAATCCAAATTTCTTAGGTAGCCTCTAAGATTTGGCTTTTGTTCCTCTCTCTAAGCTCCTATGAGGTCTTCACATCTTATGCACTAGACACCCTGAATCACTTGCAGTTTCCTGGTTAGAACTTTCTTTCTCTTGCTTCCTTGTTGCCTCTCTGTGGTAGTACACTTCTCTCCCCACTACTAGTGAGGTGTCATTCCCTCTGAGAACCAGTCCCTGGCTCCTCTCCTGGCTTGTCTTGTACTTTTTCCACTAGGGTTAAGGTCCTCTTCTGTATCTCTCTCTAGTTTAGTCTCCCTCACTAGAGTGCAGATGGCTCTATTTTGTTGGCCTTTGTGCCAACACTGGTCACCAATGCTTGGCAAGAAGAATGCCCTCAATAAATGCTGAATAAATAAATGTTCCTGCATAGCCAGTCACCTCTAAAAACCTTTGGCAAGAATTCTCGTTCTGTTCACCTTTCTACTTGCGAGTATTTTTATAACAAATATATAATTCCAAATTATATAGCAATTATAGTTAACCCTTGGACAATGCAGATTTGAACTGTGAAGGTCCATTTATTTATACGTGGATTTTTTTCAACAGGAACTATTACAGCACTACATGGTCTGTGGTTGATGGTGCAGATGTGGAACCACAGGTATGGAGGAAACAAATAAGTGGAGGGCTGATGGTAAGTTACAAAAGGACGTTTGACTGCATGGAGGGTGGGTGCTCCAAACCTCCACGATGTTCAAGTGTCAACGAGATATTTATAAACCCTTCAGTTTTCCAGATAAGCAACTTCTTTCAAACTCCACAATACTAGAAAAAAGGCTAATACTCCAGGAGATAAAACAAAATATTTCTACCACCATTAAGTTTATGCAGTGAAACTCTAGCACATCTTTCTCAAATGGGCCAGTTAAACTGCCTAATGATTGACATTTTGTCTTCTGTACTCAGACTTTGAAGCAAAAGTGGAGGAAAGATGCATATATTGTCCTCAGACAGCCTTCCTCTGCATTGTCTTTAGTATACTGTGTCGACAGCCTCTCATTTCTCTGTTCAGTTAAAATTCTTAAGCAACCCAACTAAAACTGGTTATTAAGTTTCTCATTCTTCCAGGGCTATGGATCAGAAACGTAAATGATCTGGTTTAAAGTTTTTTTGTGTGTGTTTTTGTTTGTTTTTGTTTTTGTTTTTGGTAGGAAAGGGCCTGAAAGGAGACTTGTATTTGAAAAGCAAAACCAGACTGTTTTTAAAGAAAACTGTGAGCAAGACAAAACAATTTTCAAGTTTACCCACATTTGATCCTCTGAAAGGACCACACCCTGCTCTGTATCAGAGATGGGCCACAGCATATTTCTCTGTCCATGTCACTTCTCTGGAATGTCCTACCACCTCCTTCCAACTGGTCTATGTCCCCTGAACTTCCAAAGCCCAGTTTAACTCCCATTTTCTCCTAAAAATCTGACTGCCCTGGGCCCCAGGACCTACTTTTGCCTTTGGATTTCTCTAACACTTCTGTTGGAAAATTTTTGTGGACTGAAGTCAGAAGTCCTGGGTTTAAGTTAAAACTGAGTGGCTAAATGTTTCTTTAGGAAAGTCACATTGCTTTTCAGGTCTGTTTCCTCATCTGTGAAGAGTGGATGGTAATATGCACCTGATTTACCTTACATAGTTAGAATAAGGTTCAAACATCATGCCTAAAAATGTGTGGTCCAAACACTTAATCTCATTTTAACTTATTTTGCACTTTGTGTGTATGGGTGTTGATATAAACTGTGCTTGTATATATTTATCACTTTTTAATACTCTGTTACACTGCATAGCCTTTTTCAAAATGTTTTCATGTATATTATATATATATATATATATAACATATATATAACATACTTGATTCTACTTAACTTTGTAGGTTTATATGTATATTTTTAAACATGTCCTGTCTCTTACTAGACTGTAAGCCATTCAAAGGGCAGAAACTGTTTATAGAGTCAAAGAATTATACAAATCTTACTTTATTTTTATAACTTGCACAGCATGATTAACATATACTCACTGTTGTATTTGTGTGTGTGTGTGTAAAGCAATCCTAAGAGGCATAAGGAAAAAACAAAAAAATTACTTGTAGCTCCACAGCTTCTCAGTAACTACTATAAATGTACAGGCACACTGCTTCCTGCCCTTTCTGTGCATGTCTAAATATGTCCATGTATATAGACTTGCGTGGATCGTAAGGCATGTATTTTACAATTTGCTTTTCATACCTGACTATACCACAAACATCTTTTTAGTAACTTATACTTTTACATCATTGTATTCATAGTCTAATACTTGGTCCTATGGATAATTTACAATCAACCCCTTTTTATAGGATTCTTACTCTTGTTCAAATTTTCATCTGTAAATACTTCTATCCATGTGAATAGTACATATTTGGATTTTCTTATACATAGTAAATCTCTCTCTGCAGGGTGGGGGGCTGGTTCAGCATTCTTTCTTTTGGTAGATTGTTCTTTCAGAAGTGACCCTTCCCTCTGCCAGTCCATGTGGTTGGGACCCCTTTGTTTTTGTCTGAAGAAGGGAACACATAGTATAGGCCTGCGCAGACTAACCAATGACTGGATCAAGACATGGGCATTTGAATCCAGCAAGGTCAAACCAGACTGGCTCAGGACTTTTTCTGGGTTGGCCATCATGGAAATGTAATAAGCCAACACCCCTGCCCCTGGCAGGAAGCTTGCCTGTGAAATGAGGCCAACTGAGAGAAAATAGAGTCAGGAGACAAAAAGAGAGATTCCTGACATTGACTGAACTCTATGAACCAGCCATGTCCCAGTTCCAGTTCTTAGGCTTCCCATGCTGATAAATCCGTTTTTAGTGGAAGATACTTCTATCATTTGTAACAGAAAATATTAGTGATTAGGATAAATTCCTACAAGTAGAATTTTTAGGACGAACGCGTAATTTTTAAGGTATTTCATGTGTATGATCTAACTTCCCTCCAGAAATGATACAGTTCATACTCATCGGCAGAGTGCCTTATTTTGTTTTAACAGCTTGAGTTTTGTTTTCACTCCCCGCCCCCATGTTTTTGGCTATTTGTATTACTTCTTTAGTGATATGTACATTTTCTCCTTTGCCCTTAAAAAAAAATTCATCTTTTCCTCATAGGCTTGTGAGAATTAATATATTAAGAATATAAAGCCTTATCACATAAAGAACAAATGACAAACTAGAAAATGTGTTTACAATTTAATTTTGTTTTGAGTTTCATTATATCCTTTTCTTCCCTCCATGTAGTTCTCCCTCTTTTCCTTCCTTCCATATAGAAGTTTACAATTTTGTATATATTCCTAGTGAGCAGTGTCTTCCTTTTTAAGTCAAACGTAGGAAGTCTTTCCTCACATTAAGACTATGTAAATATCCAGTTACATTTTCTTCTAGCACCTTTACAGTTCTTTTTTCTCTTGTTAACTTTTTATTATCAATTTAGAAATTTCTTTCTGTATCTGGGTCAGAAAGTTCTGTATTTTCCCCCAAATAGCTATTTACTTGTCCCAATTTTATTTCTTGACTAATCTACCCTGTACAGTATCCCGCTGCTTTAATTACCATAATTTTCTTATCTTCCTGGGAGAGACCATTACCCTGTCACTCTTGAAAAAAAGTATTTCTTAGATTTTATTTTATAAAAATTTTATTTTCAGAAGATTCTTAGATTTATAGAAACCATTGACCAGATAGTATAGAGTTAAACCCCTTAAACCTCCAAACCAATTTTCCCTATTAAATTATTACCCTCTAAAATTAGTATGCTACATTTCTTACACTTAACCAATACTGCTACCTTACAACGTCCATAGTTCATTTAGATTTCCTTAGTGTTATGTACTAAATTATGTTCTCCCAAAATTCATAGGTTGAAGCCCTAACTTCCCCATGTGACTGTATTTGGAGGGCCTTTAAAGGAGATAGTTAAGACTAAATGATATCAGAAGGGTGGGGCCTTAACCCAGGAGAACTGATGTCTTTAAAAGAAGAGACAATAGGAGCACAAGCAAACAGGAAAAGGCCATGTGAAGAAACAGCAAGGAGGTGGCTGTCTGCAAGCCCTGGGGAGAAGTCTGACCAGAAATCAAACCTGCTGGCACTTTGATCTTGGACTTCTAGAACTGTGAGAAAATATATTCGTTGTTTAAGCCACACAGGCTGTGGTATTTTTGTTATGGCAGCCCTAGGAGACTAACACATTTAGTTTTTACCTGACATCCTTTTTTCTGTTCCAGGATCCCATTCAGGATACCACTTAACATACTTATTTGTCATGTCTCCTTACGCTATTCTTGTCTATGACAATTTCTCAGTTTTCTTGTTTTTGACCACTTGGACAGTCTTGATGGTTGCTGGTTGGGTATTCTGTAGGATGCCTCATTATTGGAATTTCTTTGACCTTACTCTCATGATACAACTGGGCTTAGGGTTATTGGGATAAAGATCATAATGTAAAGAGCAGTTTTCATTACATCATATGAAGGGTGCATACTATCAATATGATTTATAATGTTGATGTTGACCTTGATCACCTTGCTGACATAGTGCTTGTCTAGTTTCTCCATTGTAAAGTTATTTTTTTTCCCCTTTCCATTTTGAATTCTTTGGAGGGAAGTCACTAGGTGCAGTCCACACCTAAGGAGTGAGGAGTTATGCTTCCTTACTCTTCTTATTAAAAGTTTTCTTGGCTGTTTTTGCTTACACGTTTCTCTCCCTCCTACTGGTATTTTTATTTGGATTATATTAGGTTTGTGAAATAATTTTGAGATAATTTGGTTTTGGTTAAAAATTAAGCATTCTAGAAACAGTATATATGCACATATCTATTTATGCCTATCATAGGTTATATTTCCCTTAATTAAAAAATTATGTTTTCTAAGTGGTTATTTCAGACAACTGACTTTTGTGTATTGATTTTATATCTGGCCATAATACTGACTTCTTAGAACTACTGGTAGATAGTTTTGGATTTTTTAGATCTTCAGGTAACTTGGTTTCTTTCACTCCGTTTTCTAGATAAGCAACTGAAGAAAAGCTATTGAAGTTAGTTACCAAGCTGAAGCCTGATTCCCAGTTAATGCCTAGAAGTTTGGAAGCCTAAATAGGACTAATACTTTTACAGGTACTTTTGTTTCTAATGAAAAATACAAGACAAAAACAATTTCTGGAGAACTTGGATAACTATGTTAAAAAACATTTGGTATTTAATACAGTTTCAAGATTAATTAATTAAAAATTACAAACTAATCAAAACTAGCTATATAGAGAATGACATTATCAACCACAAACATCACAATTATTTTTTCTTCTATGATTCTCTTAATGCTATTGAAAGTAGAAAAGGCAATTTTGTCTACAAATTGTATTCTAGAAATCATAAGAAAATGTCAATTAAAAACATCTATTGGAAGATTCATTCATTTCTGTATTTCAACTATCAAGATGTAATATTTAGGTTAAAACATTACAAACTTCTGATTTTGAGACTTGTCTCCATCACTGATTGATTACACAAGAAACTTAGGGTTCTCCTTGCACAAATGTTCAAAGTTTCTCTAGGAATTGAGACGTTAAAGGGTTAAAGTACCAGCACATATAAAAAGAAATGTGTATCTTTTTTCAACACGAAGTAGATAGTAGAGATCATAGTAATTCATCTGAAGAGATAGACAAAATGTGAATGAGTGCAGAAATCAAAGTATATATGTTTAAAAAAAAAAAAGTCCAGGAACATGAGGTCACTAGCTTTCTTCATGTCCAGCAAAGCAGGGCAGCCTGGGACAGAGATGACTGAGAAACAAACAGAAGAGACTAAGGAAGAGGAAGAACTCAAGGACGAAAAGATGGAAGAAGACTCAAAAGGGCAAATGAGTATGACTTAAAAGGAAGCCTAGAAAAATGGAGACAGAAATGGCCAAAACTCAGAAATTTACAAATTAGGAAGAAAATAGGAACAAAAAAGGAACAAAAATAAATGTCTGAACAAACAAAAATAAATATAGGAAAACAGTATTATGTAAACCAAGCAAAGAGGAAAATAGATACAGGCCTTTGGAATAAGAAAACAAAGATGAAAACCCCTTGATTTTCTTTCCCAGTTTGTTGTTCACAAGGGAAAATCTTCTTTGTTTTGAGCTATGAATGAGTGTTAATATTGTTCCTTTAGTTTGGGATTTTGAAAAGCCAATAATGTCTTTTGTTTCCTTTAGTTAAAGAGAAAAACTCCAAATATTACAGTGTCTTTAAATATTGAGTATTGTTGAAGCAAATGTGAAAGTTGTAATTTTCAGAGTAACTTTAACAGCATAATAGTTTCTCAGCTTTCGTGCCTATCATTAGCATCACACTTAGCAGGACACAGGTGGAAAGATTTAAGAGGCTTTCCAGAATAAATCTGTAATATGCATTCTTACACCTGCCCTGAGATCTAACCGACTGCTCAGCCAGTAACATTTAATCTATGGCCAATGAACTAATAAAACAACATAGGGAAGATAGATGGAGTTCCCAATCAAAAAGGCCTGGTAAGCAGCTGGGGTACATGGCTATCTGCCCGTCTCTCTTAAAATAAATCCATGAACAAAGCAAACTTCCCTAATGTGATTGATAGAAACTTATTTCAGGGTAAACAGTATGAAAGCACAGAGTCAATACTGAAGAATTTTCTTCATCCAAAAGAAAAAGGCAGAAAAAAGTGACTTCGAGGATTGGACAGAAGGCTTAGAATTAAAATAATCATAATCACCTTTCCAGGCTCAGCAACTCTGACAAGGTCCTATTTATAAAGAATCATGTTGGTCTTCTGCAGCATTATTTATAGTCCTGTATAAGGTGAACACTAAGTAGGGAACCTGGTCCATAATTATAGTCCCTCTTTCTGCATTTTACTACTGCTTTAGAACTGGGCTAAGAGGGAAGAATGGAAGAAAAACATTCATATTACACTGACCTTATAATTCTGTGCTCTCCAAAGTGATAATACTCTTCTGCTTT